TACAAGGCAACAGGCTCCTTTCCTTCAGGATGTACCTTAAAACAATGGAGTGGAGTGGGAAGAAAGAACCCAAAGGTAAAACGGATATACAGGTATGGATATACAGGTATACCCAAATGTGGCGGTGGCGGGGGGCTGATCACAAGAATCAGAAAAGGGAAAAAATGCCCATTCTCCTGGATATTCTTCTGCCACCATGCTGATTCTGAAGTCAGAATTGGTCCTCTACCCGTTTCTGATAAATGTTTGAAACCAGTAGGTACCCAGGAGAACTGAAGTTCAAAAACACTGGAACAATGTTTCACATCACTGCAATTAAAACAAATGTCAGTTCTAGGATGTGGGTAGTTCAGTACGTGTGACATTAGCTCAAACAAAAAGGAGATGCTCACATATTATGGAAATGGAGAGCATTGTGGATGGATGGAGATTGACTGACAGGCAGAACAAAGATCTCTTAGTTAACAAGTAAATTTACATGTAGTTACCCCATCTGAGATCATATCTTCTATTTTTAACAGGAACAGGACTGAACATGGAGAACAGATGAAGCAGATTTGGAATCTGCTGCTCTAAGGACAGGTGGCAGGTTGTCAGTTTATTGTATTAAGCTTTAAATATTTTTTAATGTGGTTCTTTCCAGTAACTCCAGGATCCAAACTCATTATTTAACAGTAGTGCCATGCATCTGCTTTACCAGTGGACGGTGTTCTTTTTTTACTGTTTAACTGGTCTAGAATTAAAGTCCTGGTTGGGATTGGGACTGGAGAGGGAAAGCTTGCAATGGCATCTACAGCAGAGATACCCAGTGGCTCAGGAACCACATGTGGCTCTCTGATATGCCACTTGTGGCTCTTCTGAGCACTGTTTCCCCAAGTGGCACCTGCCTCATGTTTCAGGCATCTGGGCAAGGCCCATGTCCAGTAGGGCTCGTGGTTGGCAGGTGGTTTCCACCTTGAAACTGCTGCCATTGAAGAACAGGTAAGCTGTGAGCCTCCCTGAGGTGTAAGCATCATGTCAGGGATGGCGTAAATGTGGCTCTTTTGGTTGGTGGTAATTGCCCTGACCTGATTGGCCCAGGCTAGCCCAATCTCATCAGATCTCAGAAGCTAAGCAAGGTCAGCCCTGGTTAGTATTTGGATGGGAGACCACCAAGGAAGTTCGGGGTCACTGCAGAGGAAGGCAATGGCAAACCACCTCTGAATGCCTTGTGCCTTCCAAACCTCCACAAGTCATCTGCAACTTGACAGCACTTTCCACAACCAAGTGCAAAAGAAGGTCTCTGTGAGCCATGGTTCAAGTACCACTGGTCTAGAGGAAAGGCTGTGGGAACAGACATGGGCTTTTGCATTATCACAAAGTACTGAGCCACAATGCACTTGCTGCACATGAACCCCCTCCACATTCACTTGATAGAGAAGGGCTCTAGCCTACAATTCTTCCTAATGTAGTGTGTGTGAGTGGGGGGGGAGTCTAGATCAGGGCAAGAAGAGGAGGAGGAGATTAGATTTATGCCCCACCCTTTACTACCTGAAGGAGTCTCAGAGCAGCTTACAATCTTCTTTCCCTTCCCCTCCCCACAACAGACACCCTGTGAGGAAGGTGGGGCTGAGAGAGCTCTGACAGAAACTGCTCTTGAGAGAACAGCTCTGAAATAACTTGTAACTGACCCAAGGTTAGTTGCATGTGGAGGAGTGGGGAATCAAACCCAGGTCTCCCAGATTAGAGTCCATGCTCCTAGCCACTACACCAAACTGTCTCTCAGGCATGAGAGAGCTCTTATCCTTCTCCAGTAGAATCAGGGGGAATGAGGGAGGCTGCCTATCTACCTAGTTTACAGTCTGTGTTTGGCACAGGAGGTGATAACTCAGAGAAATACTATGAAACCTGGTGGGTGGGCAGGATGTACTAGCTTGCAAATGCAAGAAATGTCTCAATTGCATCTCACAGGCTTGCAAACACAACCACCTGGGATCCAACAGGGAAATTTCTGCCCAGGCACCTGCTGATACAGGACATTTCTCTGTTGGATCCAGGCAGAAAAATGTCCCATGGGTAGTGGTGGTCAGAACACCCTCTCTCAGCCCAAAGAGCAGATGAAAGGCAGTGTCCTGACCACGACCACCCCACAGTCACGTGGCCGATAATGGAGCCAAATGCTATCACGAGGTAGCCCACTGCCTGTCTCACTTGATGGGCACTCCACACATGCTCTCAAGCAGTCACACAGTGATGCGCATACATGTGTGAATGTGCAAAAATAAAACAGCGAGAAAGAAGGGAGGGGGGAGACTGCTCTGTAAGTCACACTGATTCTATCCCCCGTTGCATTGATTCATCTTTTAGGCAGCGCTATTTGCGGTTGCCCAAGGGCTCCATGTTGCTATGCCTTTTTTCTCACCACCTCCACTGCCGACATCTTTGACAGAACAAATTTACACCATCACAAGAGAGGACAAAATGGCCTGTGAACACCACTGCACTATTCGCCACCTGGAAACAAAGTAAGGATGTGAAAAGGCCATTTCTTGCAACTGAGGTGAAGACTCAGAGCTGGAGGAGGTGAGGTCAACGAAAACGCCTGGCTTCTAATTTCTCAACCTCGCTCTGTTTCCATTCCGTAAGAACTCTCAAAAGCAATTCACTGTGAAGAATGTCTCACATGCATTTGCATTGCAAAAAAAAAAATCCCTCATTTTTCACCCTCCCCCAAGAAACAGCATAAGACTCAGCCAAATACCTAATGACACACAAATGTACTCAAGCAGTCAGAGTGGCAACCAAACATATTTGAATGTACAAAAAGCCATTGTAAGAAGGGCAGGTGAAGGCTTAACTTCGCAAGTCTTAGCTTAGGTCTACTAAACAGTTCTACTCAGGTCTATTCAATGGGGCTTACTCTCAGGAAAGTGCACACTAATTAAAGGTATCAAAGGTAAAAAAAATCCCATGCTTTTTGGGTTCACTACAACTCTTTCTGAGGCAAAAAGGTGGGCAATACCACAGCAAACACTCCTTTAAAACATACTATTATAGTGTGACTCTTTCGTTCCTTCTGAATCTTATTTATCCTCTCTTTCCTCCTCTTCAAAAATCTGCAATAGTGTTTTCATCTGGAGTTTATCCTCTTTAAACCTTAAATACGTCATGACTGGCTATTACCTGAAAGCACTCTGCACATGTTCCAAGTACCTCTCTTTTTGATTAAGACTCCCATGTGCTTAGTCTTTGCACTGAAAACATGGTGGCTCAGCTAGGGTTGCCAACCTCCAGGTAGTGGATGGAGAGCTCCCAGGATTTCAACTGATCTCCAGACTAGAGATCAGTCCCCCTGGGGAAAATGGCCACTTTGGAAGGTGGACTCTGTAGCATTATACCCCACTGAAGTCCCTGCGCTTTCCCAAACCCAGCCCTCTCCAGACTCCACTCCCCAGATCTCCAGGAATTTCCAAATATGGAGCTAGCAACCCTAGGCCTAACCTTGGGGACTCCTGGCTCAGTCAACTGTGCCCGTCTCACCAAGAACTTCACATGGAAAGCTGACCACCACCCCCCTTCACACACGTGGAAAGACTACATCTCCCAGAATGCCGTGGTGGTGGACTCCTCCCTGCCGGCCCCGCCCCAGCCCTCTCGCTCCGCCCGCCCTGAGCCCCGAGGGAAGCTGGAGCGCAGCAAAGCGTGGAGGGCTACAAGTGCTTCTTCCGGAGACTTTGGCGGACCGGCGCGGGAGTGGCAGCGACCGCCCTGCCGAGGGCTGCAAACTGATGGGAAAAGGTAGGGGGAGGCGGGGGGCGACACTGCAGGGCCGGACAGAGCCCCGCTTCAGAGAGCGCCTGTCTGCACTTTGCCGCGAAGCCCCAGGGAGGAGAGAAGGATGGAGGAGACTCTCGCGCGAGGAGGTCGCCTTTGGCGGGCGATGCTTTTGCGCCTTAGATCTGCGCTACGTTAACCGAGCCAGCCGGTCATGTTTATAAAGTAGAAGGTGCGGTAAATTTCGAAAAACTCTAGCGGGTTTTTAAAAACAAAAATAACAGCGTTTTGTTTTTTATGCGACTGAGTTCTTTTTTTCATTGCCCCAAATGTTGTTTCTTGCATGGGATGAATTGCACCAGGGAAACTTTTTTTAAAAATACAATATATGCGTGTGTGTATATGTGTGTGTGTGTGTTTATGTATTCTTCATCAGTGGAAGCATCATTTCATGGCAAGCGTTTTTAATCAAATCTCCAGATCTGCTTTCTGGGAAAAGTGCTGCTTTCCCTCTTCCTGGGATTATCAGATTTCCACACGAGAATAGAGATCCTGGATTAGTGAACTACAAGGGATTTGCCTCCTTCTTCCTAATTAGAGTGTGGATTTGAGTTCCGGGCTTCTGTCAGGGTTGTGCTTTCTTTTTGGCTCTTCGGTTTGCTCTTTGAAATTTAAACTCTCTTGGGTCTCACACCTCCGTAGTGCTCAGGGCGGAAAAGACGACGTGGGTGTTTCTGCCTGCCTTTGATTTCCAAGGGATTATTTCCATAATTGGATAACGGTGTCAAAGGTTGATTAGAGAGCCTAATGGATTTGAGACCGGCAAGAGGATTTCAGCTCTAAGTGCTTGATTAAAACAATCACGTTTGCTGTCTGTCCCCCCCCACACACACACTCCACTCCCATGCACACAAACACACACACACAAGCCCACCCACAGAGGAGAAAAATCAGAGTAATGGCTGGAGTCTTGTTTCTGCTGCGCTTCTCTTTGTCTAATAAGGGATTATGATGATGAAGCTCTTTCTCTCCCCTCCCCCCCCCTTTTTTTGCATTTGCAGATTGGAAAAGAGTAGATGTCAGAGGGAATTTGTTTAATTGGGTAGCGGCTGACGGAATCCCAGCAAAACAGTGGCCCGAGTGGAGACGAGGTCCTTCGTGGGCCACACTGTTATTCAGCGATGGCAGAATTTGGTGATGGATGGACTCATCGATGGTAGCCCCTGGCATGTTCGAAGGGTGCCCCGATGGCTTGCCTGGAACTTCTGCACCTCGGCAAGGAGAGCGAGCGGTCAGATCGGTGCCGTGACGGGGACTGGAGTTTGCACACTCTCCCGTGCCAAGGGCAGCCCGAGGAAGGTGAGGAGAGGACTCGGACATCAGCCATGGCTGCTGAGCGTTCCATGAGACCTGGCAAAGCTGTGGAAAAGACCACCACAGGAGATGCTGGGCAGGCCCCTGTTTCCTTCACTTCCCCATCACCTCTGTCCCAGGAACACTTCGCAGCAGAGGACACCGTCTGCTATCCCAGCCACTCCAAGGAAGGACAGGAAACAGCCCGAAAGAGAGCCTGCTGCTGTGAATCGGAGACCTCCTTCACTCACGTGGATGAAAACGTCAACAATCTAGAGCATGGGCGAAGTCTTGCTGACAAGAGCTGTTGCCAAGACCAGGAGCTCCTTCCGTACCCTGATCCATGTGGAGAGATGCCCCCAGAATGGCCCTACGATCCCCCTTCATTAGTGTCGGAGGAAGAGGATGACGCCGGCTCGGAAGCCGCTGGAGGGAAGTCTGTGGACTATGGCTTCATCAGCGCCATCTTGTTTCTGGTCAGTGGGATTTTGCTGGTGATTATTTCCTACGTGGTTCCCCGAGATGTGACGGTGGACCCCAGCACGGTGGCGGCCAGGGAGATGGAGCGGCTGGAGAATGAGAGCGCCAAGATTGGGGCTCACCTGGATAGGTGTGTGATCGCCGGGCTCTGCCTTTTGACCCTGGGCGGCGTGGTGTTGTCCAGTCTCCTCATGATGTCGATGTGGAAAGGAGAGCTCTACCGGAGGAACAGGTTTGCCTCCTCCAAGGAATCGGCCAGGCTGTACGGCTCCTTCAATTTCCGAATGAAATCCTCCACCAATGATAATATGGAGTTATCGTTAGTCGAGGAGGACACTCTCGCCATAGACAGCTAGGGTGCTTGTGATATTTAGGCAAGGCGGAATGAGGGAAACAATGATGCTTAAGGTAGCTCACAGCACCAGGCGAGAAACATTTGTTGCTTAACCTGAAATGGGGCATTTGCATTATATAGGCACGTATTCCTGGGTGAAAGAATGGCAGGGATAAACGTACTGACTCTCTAGCTGGAATTCAGATTGACAGAGAAGGGCTAGCTCAGCGAAGGGCTGAAATCCTAAACTTGCTGGGAAGTAGATTCCATTGATATCGGTGAGGCGTGGGGCTGGTTCGCATTGTCACAATTGTTACTTGATGATCGCATTGTGGATGCGTGGCTTGCATGTGTGAACGGGCCATCAGGGAGAGAGCACGAGAGATCAAACATCCTTGCGGTGTTTCACATACAGTCGTTTTCGGTTGGGTTGGCTCCCACCTTAAGATGCGCGGCACCAAGTAGACAGTCCCGAAACGGTCAGAGATTGTCAGGCGATGTACGCACACGTGTGAACAAGACCTTGATGAGTGAAGTTGCCTCCTGTGCCTTTTACCTGACTCATTCGGACGTTCCAGTTGTCACTTGATGTCGCACTCTTCCGGCGGCGGCGCTGACGACCGACCGTAGCCAAGCATGGCTTTCGGAGCGATACGAAAACTCTGCCTTTGGCCTCACATCCCTGATGGCTCCTTCACAAACATTCATGTGCGCATTCACACCCTCGCTTCCAAGTCCACGCGCTTAGGATTCCAGTCCGCCATTGGGTCTCTGCATTTGAAACAAAAATGTGTGACAATTGGGGCATTCAGAATATTGGTTGTCAGCTGTCCCTCTGGTTGAAAATACCAGGAAGCCTTTCAACGCTCTGGATGTCCCACTGGCATCGGACGGGCTGGACGGCAAAGATTTATTTTTATTACAGATATAACCAAAGTTTGTGAGTAATGCCAGATTTTGCAAATTTTCTTTTGGAGTGCTAAAATGTTCCCTATGGCTTTTTCTTTTTTTTGCCTAGCTCATTTCTCTCCCTCTCCCCCCCCTTTCCACCCACTCTTCATATAAAGCATTAATACTGCCGCTCTAAAAACTGTAACAGCCCACATGCAAGGTTAGTAACTGCCAGTGTGGTCATATGCGAAGGGGGACCAATAATCAGTCATCGAGGCTGCCGCTTGGTATTTGCAGGGAGCATTCTGTTTGGACCGGGGAGTTTTCAGCTCAGGCGGCCAGGGGTGTTGTTGTACCTTATGCCCGAGTTTGCCCGTGCTCAACTGAGTCAACTGAGAATGCATTCATTGATTTAACTTCTTAGCCTCCCTGTCCCGACAGCCTCAAGGCAGGCCAACAAACTTAGGAGAGTACACAATGTATTTGAGGGAGGGCTTTTTTTAAAGGGACAGCTTACAAAAATAACGTAAAGGTCCTGCTGTATATGCCTAGTTTTCTCAACATTTTCACAACCAAAACAGTATTTTCAGGACTGCAGAAAGATGCTGAAGTCAGGCTTTTGGCAAGAGGAAGAAAATTCCAGTTTGCATAAGCAGAGGAAAGATCCAGCCAGTTCCAAAGAGGAGACTGGGCTTGGCTTCTGCAAACTGGAAAACCACGGGAGGAATGCAGGAAGCCTCCGGGCGGCACACAGCGAGTCAAAGAGTTGTTGCTGGCTGTCTTTTCAATGGAAGGGCTTGTCTCGCTCTGCCAGTTAGTGTAAACGGATCCGTTTCAGTGGGACTTGTGGACAGGGCTCCCTAAGAGCCGTCCTGTTGCCCAGAAAGAGATTCCAGCTCTGCCCTCCCCCTCCACACTGCACAGACCTGACCCCAAACATTGTGTGCACGCAGAGCACACTGCTTGCTCTTAAACATGGAGAGGTTAATAGTGAGTTATCTCAGTGCTGGTTCTAGGTTTGGGGAGGCCGTGGGCAGGCATTGCTCCTTGCTGCTCACCACCAGCTCAGCCCCTTGTCTCCCTTTCCACCAGCTTGTGTGCCTCCCACCTGACAGTGCATCCTTCCTTCACTCACAGCCCCCCCCCCCGGGTCTGCACCACATTCATGCCCTTGCCCTGACAGCACTGGTTGGACTGGGCACCCTGCATGCATTTCCACACCAGTCCCAGGAAGGTAGGGACCAGGTGGGGGAGTGCTTGCAGGTGAATGGGCAGGGAGGTGGTGGATGAGTGGCAGGAGTTTTGTGGGTTCAAGATCAGCGACAGCGGCCCTTGCCAGAAGCTCTGGGCCCCGGCAGCTGCCCTACCGTGAGGGATGCTGGCCTGGCACCAGCCCAGAGTTATCTCTGTGTGTGCCTCCCCTTCTCTTCTCCACGTTTATTTCCCGTTCTTTATTATTTATTTTATTAGATTTGCATCCTGCCCTCCCCGCAAGCAGGCTCGGGGTGAGTTCTATCGATATTAATGCCATTTACAATAACAATTAAAACCAGTTTAAAGCAACAAAATTAAAACAGGAGAATAGTCGTAAAATACCGTGCAAGATCTAACCTGATGTCTCAGCAGATTCCCAGGTGGCTGTTCGAATCTAGGAGACCAGGCGGGGAGGAGAGGAGCCCGGTGGAAGAGCTCCATCTTGCAGGCCCTGCAGAATTGGAACAAGTCCCGCAGGGCCCTGACCTCATACGGGAGCTCATCGCAGGCTCGGGGTGGGTTCTATCGATATTAATGCCATTTACAATAACAATTAAAACCAGTTTAAAGCAACAAAATTAAAACAGGAGAATAGTCGTAAAATACCGTGCAAGATCTAACCTGATGTCTCAGCAGATTCCCAGGTGGCTGTTCGAATCTAGGAGACCAGGCGGGGAGGAGAGGAGCCCGGTGGAAGAGCTCCATCTTGCAGGCCCTGCAGAATTGGAAAAAGTCCCGCAGGGCCCTGACCTCTTACGGGAGCTCATCCTTCCAAGTAAGGGCCAGGGCCGTAAGGAGCTCAGGGCAGTACATGGTCCTCGCAACAACCCTGTGACACAGGTTACACCGTCAAAAGAGTGACTGGCCCGGGGTTGCAGTTCCCTTTTCTCTGCCTCCTAAATTAAGGGGTCATCGGGGTGCTTCATCCGGCATGACTGTGGCCCCTGGACTACCGTCCCCCTTGCAGCCCTGCCGATGCAGGAGAACTTCTTGGTAGGTGTCCATGGCAGGTTAGACCTCATGTGCTTTCTGCCTGATGCCTTCCCGTGTTACCTTAAATCATCGGTTGGTAAACCTGGGTTGGATAAGAAAACTGCCTATTGGCATCAGTGCTGGATTGTGAGGCTCGTGTGTGTGTGATGCATGCCCTCTTCTTCCTTGTGTTGCGTTATACCCTCTTTGGAAGATCCACTCCTGGGATATTGTCAAGACACTTGTTGATGGTGTGCTAAAGCTTTGGGGCCACCCTCTATTGTGAGGCTGTGACGGGGGACCCCGTTCTTAGAATGGAGCACCTACGTTTACTGCATTTAAATCCTGCCTTTCTCCCCAGTGGGGGCTCAGATCAGCTTATCTTGTTCTCCTTTCCTCCATTTTACCTTCACAACAGTCCTGCAAGGTAGGGGAGGCTAAGTGCTGGTGACCAGCACAAGGTCACCCAGCAAGCTTCCATGGGAGAGTGGAGCTTCAAACCCAGGTCTCCCAGGCCCTGACCCAAATAGCCCAGGCAAGCCCAATCTCATCAGGTCTTGGAAGCTAAGCAGGGCCGACCCTGACAAGTACAAGAGCCAGTTTGGCATAATGGTTAGGAGCGCGGACTCTGATCTGGGAGAACCAGGTTGAATTCCCCACTTGTCCACGTGCAGCTGCTGGTGTGACCTTGGGTCAGTCCCAAGTTCTTTCAGAGCTGTTCTCTCATGAGCAGTTCTCAAAAGAGCTCTCTCAGCCCCACCCACCTCACAGGGTGTCTGTTGTGGGGAGGGGAAGGGAAAGGAGTTTGTAAGCCGCTCTGAGACTCCTTTGGGTAGTGAAGGATTAGGTATAAATCCAATCTCTCCTTCTTCTACTTGGATGGGAGACCTCCAAAGAATACCAGGGTCGGGAGGCAGAGGCAGGCTATCAATCCACTTCTCTGAACATCCTTCATGCCCCAATGGAAGTCACTAGAGGTCGCCATGAGTTCCAGGCACGGGCACGCACACACACAGAGATGCAAAAATGCCAAAAACCCCACACCCGGGTCTCCCAGATCTGAGTCCAGCTCACTAACCACGACACCACACTGGCTGTCTACTTTTAATACTGTGCACCAGTTTTTGGCCACAATCCACAATTACAGGGATCACCAACACATTGGATTCTGGATGGCACAGGGTGCATATGTTTTCTGGTAACGCCGCTCAGCTGTGCTTCGGTGTTCTGGTGCATTTTTATCCTGCCTTCCTTCCAAGGATGTCCGGGTGGTTTTCCCCTCTCCCCATTTTCCACACAACAATCCTGTGGGGTAGGTGAAGCTGAGAGAGAGGGACTGGCGCATGACCGCACAGTGACTCTTAACTGCTATACAAATTTGTGTAATTTGGGCATGACAACTTGGCCTCCCCTAGGAACTGAGCAGAGCTTCTCAAAGTATTAGTAATCATTAAAGCTGAAATCTCTGTGCATTTGAATGGCAGCCTATGCTAATGGGCCTTTCCAGATCCTGACCAAACGCTTCTGGGAAACAATTTGTCTTTTATTTATTTATTTCTTGTAACTGCCCCACCCATCTGCTTCAACATCTGGAGCAGGCTTGGCTGTACAAACTTTATGCTAGTCTTCTGGACCAATCCGGAAACCATGGGATGTGTGGATGAACTACTTGTGACTAAAGACAGGAGTAGAATATTTAATGCATATGTGCCAGGGGGCACTGTGGTTGTCTCCCCCCCACACATTGCTCCTAGGAAAATACAGAAAGCGTTACCTACAAGGTTGCGTTTCCTTGGATGCTTACCTGACCTAAAAATGATACCAATCCCCTTGGGAGATCGATTTATTTATTAATTAAAATATTTACACCTCACCTTTCTTCTTGGCTCAAGAGGACTTACAATA